TTGTCTTTTGCCGAAGCTCAGACTCTGGCACAGGATCGGGAACGTTGTAAGCACTGTCTGACGCGTCTGCTTCCGCGACCCGAAAGGAGAAGCGGCGATAGAAGATAAAGATGAAGATGTTACTTGCAAAGTGCAAATACTGGATTTTTTACTCATGAAACGCCTAAAGGATGACATCATGCTTGAACGACAAAAGATATTGGATACCTACCTACATTATCGATAAATTGTCATTTATGGCCTTATTTTCAACAGTATGAACGTGTGACAGTATAACGTCATTAAGCGATTATATAAGGTATGCTTAACGAAAGGACTAGTTAGGCATTACCGTAAAACTGACAAAATTGTGCAGATTGTAAAAAGGTGTTTCGATTATAATAGTCGATTATTATGTATTATACTAGTCGATTATAATAGTCGGCATTCGATTTTTGATTAATGTCGAATAGTTTCGAAACTATTGTACTCTTGATGTGTCTACCCTTTACCCCTGTAGACTCGTTTAGTCTTTGGCAGTCCCTGCAAATGACAGACCTGTTCTTTCAAAGTTCAGAGTTGGTTGCAAGCATCTTGCTTTCGTTAAATACAAGCGGTATTTCCGTGATTTGGTTTGTCATACTGTCAGGTCTTGTAATGTCTATGTGAAAGCCACGATTGCTGCTGTGTCTGATTATTCAGCTGCAGCTGAATATGACAGGTGATCGCGTCTCGAACACCTGAACGAAATAGTCCTAGCAGCACCTCTTCAATCAGTTTTATATTCGTTTCCGCTTATTGGCGGTTTTAGGAACACCTGTTAAAGATAGCATGGTAGCGCTTGTCATACACGGTGCATTCTATGAATTATCAATTCCAGATTTTGGCAGCGATAGGAGAAAAATTGTATATTAGTTGAACACGCCAGAACAAAACAGATATTAACAAGATCATTGTACAACAACATCGTAAGAACGACGAACCACTGCTTGATGACGTGGCAGTGCAGGCTTTTCCTCGCCCTCACAGTATTGTCGTACTGTGATCATATCACCATGCTTTCTGTTTGGCCGTGTTCTAAACCTACAAACAA